AGCCAAATATGCAATTTTTCAGAACCGGATTATATATAAAAATACAGTAGTATTTATCAAAATAAATTTCATATTAAACTCATTGCCTAATATAAGCACTACTTGTGTTTAATTTGCAAATCATATCATATATCGTGAACTTATGTTTTCAGAAATTACACTATTTATTGGACATTAGGGTTGGATTGAATTTTTCAGTAAATTCCAGTATTTCTCTGCAAAATTAGGCTTATGTGAAATATGCTTTTTAGCTATTTTTAAGCATACATATGCTTAAGATCACCCATAGTGATTTCAAGCATAATTAGTACACTAATTAATTCATTATGATAAATATTTTTGCTGCATAGTTATATAATCAGGTTCAGTTTAGTCCATTACCCCATTTAAAATTGGCCTTATGATCGGTCTTCTGGTAGCTGTAATACAAGAATTAGTTTTTAACTTTGTTTAAGTACTATATTTTAAAATATTCAAAATTATAAAAGTAAAAATATTTGATTAATGTTTGATATAAATGTTCTTTACTTTGTATGTATACCCTATGGAACACACAATTATTATACTGTAGTAGTATTTGTTGTATTGGGTCGTTCAATAAATAATAATAGTCGAGCAATGAAAACTTAAAATTATTTTTTAATCATGAAGCAACCTATTATTATAAAATATGTAATAGCCGTTTTTGTCGGCATTTATTGGCCATCAATCGGACAAAGTTTCATTTACTTCCCGATAGAACTGGCTGTTTTGTGATGCAATAAAGTGAGTGAAGTCAATTTCAACCACTACTTTTGTATTGCAATTTCTACCACTAAAGCATGACTGAAGAAAATGATATTAATAGTCATCTGATAGTTGAATAACAGGAGAATATTGTGGTTGTGAGAGAACTTGTCGGGCAAAGCCTTAAAACTTTTTAATGCAATTTCGGCAAAAAATGTAGTCTAAAAATAGGCCAAAAATAGGCATATTTTAGGCATGTATTTAATTACATGCTCTGAACAAATGCCCATTCGGGTTTAAATGGTCACAAATTATTTTCCAGTACAAGCATAAGTTGATCAACTATTCCATGTGTGAAAATCGCGGATCGAATTCAACCCGAATATTTGGCAGGCGATTGTCCACTTCCCGGTGTCGGGCCATTCGGGCGCTATTTTTAAGATTACAATCATCTGATTTAAAACTTTTGAGCAATTCATGTCATTGGTTGATATCCAATACATCGCCGAAGATTTATATATTGTAACTGTGGGCCTATTTATTAGTGCTTTTAACTTAAAACAAAAATAGGTCATATTTTTCAATGTTCTCGGTACCATAACTTTCGGGTGAAATCACTACTTCTCGAAATAATTTTGGAACTTTTGTTTCATACAATTAACGAGGAATAATGAGTGTATAAAATAGTGTTTAAATCAATACGATGGCATATACCAAAAAAATTTGCCAGCCATTCAAACTTAAAGTAATTCTAAATTACTATTACATAATGAACACCCCAATATTAATACCAGTAATAAGTGATTGATTTAACTCTTTTAACATCAGGTAATAGAATAATTTGAAAGTCAAATGAGTTTTTATTGATTAAGACTTTTGTGTTCATATATTTTTGAATAATTTTGTTTGCCTTTTCGTTAATCAATATTTTGAACGTATAATACACTTTGCATATACTTTATTCTACTGTATATTATATAACGATGTGAATAATACTCTCAAATATTCCGTATATAAGTTAAACCATATATAGAGTGAAAAATATTTCATAAAATTTCTCAAAATTGGGTTAAATTTTGTGTATGAATTGTGTGTTGTGTTTGTAGAGCATAGAGAAAGAGATGTTTGAGATATGATTGAGTTATGATTTCTATCTTTTTCTCACATATTTTTCTCAAGACTTGACTCTATTTTGTGTTTTTATAGCAAATTTTTATAAGTTTAAATATAAGACTAAATAAAACTCAATAACTCTTTTATGTGAAATATAATTATCTGTAGATATAAATGAGATAAATATTAATTGTGTTGAAAACTCACGTATAGACGGGTCCGACGCGACCATAACCTCCACGCCTGACACGAGTCAACACACGTTCAGATGTTTCAGTATTTAGTGAACGTCTGGTAAAAGAAACGAAAAATATGTTATTTAATTAAATTTAATACACAATTAAGGGTTTAAAAAATTTTGGGGACGCCTCAAAAATTTCACACAAATTGGCAATTTTTTAATAAGGGCTCCAAATAAGGTCTACACGTCTCTCTCTCTCTCTCTCTCTCTCTCTCTCTCTCTGTATGTGATGTATAATTCATTATTCAAAGCATACTATTTATAAACAAATCCTATTTATTGTAAAGGAAGTGTTTACTTCTTGCGACTGTTGAGCAGAGAGCCGAGATGAGCCATAGTAGAGGCCGAGCTGTCGTCTCTCTCTCTCTCTCTCTCTCTCTCTCCGTAATACAGCTCTGATTATTTGACAGAAGTATTTCTTTGACAACTATTATCCAGAAGAAAATATCTCTCAGTTTCGCATGACTTCAGATTGTGTTTTGTGAGTGAAAAATATTTCAAATATTTTTTAATTCAAGTTTTTATATAACGATTAAATTGTATAAAAAATACACTAAAATTTTACAATAAATAGGATTTGTTTATAAATAGTATGCTTTGAATAATGAATTATACATCACATACGAGAGAGAGAGAGAGAGAGAGAGAGAGAGAGAGAGACTTATAAGTAATGGCTTACAGATTAGGTTTTATGTAATGTTAGGTTTTAGGTAATGGGATAATAAAGAGCTTATAAATAAGTGGATTAACAAAGAGAGACACACAAGTAATTGATGTAATATTTGGCAAAACATCTATCGCTGTATTTTAAAAAGTGATAAAACTTTTTTCAAACATAAAATAACTTTAAAGACTTAAATAAATAGTGGAAACATTTGACGTCTAAAGAAATGATAAATTATGAGATATATGTTAAGGAAGTGTTTACTTCTTGCGACTGTTGAGCAGAGAGCCGAGATGAGCCATAGTAGAGGCCGAGCTGTCGTCACTCTCCTCATCTCCGGCCGCGGCTTCTCCGCCGTCGTCGTAGTCGCCGCCGCCCTCTCCCGAGTCCTCACTCTCTCCATCGCCCTCTTCGGTCTCCTCGTAATCCTGGGCCACAACCAAACCCATCAAAACGATCGCAAAAATGCAAAATATCTGATGCGATGGCAAAAGAAAACATTTGTTGAATTTCGTATTCAAATCATATGATTGGAAATATTTTGCAAAGTTTCCAAAAGATTGAAACTTTTTTCAAAATATGAAAATTGCTTACAAATAGTTTTGAATGCATTTTGTATGTGAAGAGAAGTTTATGCAAAACTATAGCACACAGTAATCAATTGGTGATACAGTATTTTTTACACCGATCTGGTTGTCTGTTTTGTGACTAAATTTCTGGTCACAAAAACACTTTCACAACACCTTTTATAATAATAAAATCAAATGTGTTGGCCATTAGAGGGAGAGATGATTTTTTCCCAGTGGTTGGCAAATGTCTCATACAAATGGTTTGTATGTTTCTCTGTCCTAATGGAGTCTAACAGAGATATCGCAGCCATTAATTCGATATAGAAATTGTATTATAAAAGAAAATAAAGTATATTTTTTTGTCGCAAAAAAATTTACACACATTTATGATTTTTCTCTCACTGTTTTCACTGAACTCTTAAATAATCGGTAGTTTTGGGTCTCAAAGAATCAAATTATATTTAACACTAATTTACTGATGGGTTACCAGAATTTGTCGCTCGCATGATAGGCAATGTGAAACAGTATACACACACATACATACCTGTGCCCATACACTATACATACAATCAATTACTTTTACATAATATCCTACTTTTGTTTCAAAAGGTTAAGTATTCAATACTAATGATCATCATTACTGACACACAATTGCAGTGTATTTTAACTTTTTTTGCTGTTTCTTGTGTACACTTTTGCTTTTGTGGATACAAAACGCTTTTTATTATATAATTTATTTCCTATTATTTGTCTCACAATTGTTCACCAAATGTATGTTTAAACTGCTTATTAAAAGTTTTTTATAAACACTAATTAAGAATAATAAACACTTTTCCATGCATTTATGAATTAATTTTTATTTATTAATGGTTTTTATTTCTCGGAAAAGCATATTATGTGTTGAGAAAAAGCAAATATTTTACGGAAGAATTTCTTTCATTTTTCATGTTTTTGTAATTGATTTAAACTTTTAAATTCAATTTAACGTTTAATATAATTGTAATTGATAAACTAATTTATTGTAATAACAACATTTATAATCGTTTTTAATACCTATATTTTGTTTCCATAGATTAATGTATTTAAATATTTATAAAGAATTCTACTTAATTGTAATTTATGAGGTAGACTAGTAAAACAATAATGTAGATTATGTGTAAAACAATATCATTGCAATTCATATTTGTACCAATTGGTAGTATTGATTTTACATATATTTTACTTTACTAATTAAAAATGTACAATATTTTAATACCTCGTGCTGTTGTGGAATATTGTTCACAATGAATTATATAAATGACCACTACTAATAGCAATACATCAATACATTTAAAATACAAAAAAACTAAATGCAAATTTGTTTTGAAAATAAATAAAGTTTTGACGAAAGGAAATGATTTAAGGAAAAGGATGGAAGAGACGGAAATGCCTCCTCTTATTTACTCGACGGCTATTTGGTTGCAAATAAATGTCACGAAAGGACTATTAATGCATAAATTATTGACAAATTGCTATAATTGTTGTGAATCTAAACAATGTATTTATAGCGTGATATTGAAATCATATTTTTAGAAATTCAATTCTAACGTTGTATTGAAAATTAGTTTGAAATTAAAATAAATATTTAGTTTGTTTTATATCGTTTAATTTGTCATTAAATTATATTTAATAGTAATATTGATTAAAAATGTCCAAAACCACAGTAACTAGCGATTCGTCAATTAGCGATAGATATGAATTGCAACCAAATAATCAGATAACCAATGAAATGGAGCCGAAGACTGTGCCCGACATAAGTGCTGAACAGACAGTTAAAAAGCGGGACAAAAATGTCAAACAAAAGGATGAAAAACCAATTGATAAGAAGAAGTTGAAAAGACTACAGAAATTGGAGAGAGAAAGGAAACGATTCGTAAAACTAATTCATGACGAGTCCAAACGATTGATGCAAATCATAATTCCAATCACTGTTACCATGTTTTTGGTCATACTTTCCATTCAATTCTTTCCGGTCTTCTCCACAGGTATGAGAAGAAACATGATTTCTGTCATCTCTTTATTATTAAATTTGTCACTAATTTTGTCAACGCTTTTAACTATCAATTAATAGCTACTATTAAAATCAAATATCAAAAACATCGTTTTTTAGTGCCTAAGAATACAGTTAACAAAATTAGTTTTGTAATCATATAAATGAGAATCAATGTTGTGTTACTATAATTGTATGAATACCACGATCTAATAGGCAAACTATCTCGCACGTTTGGCGAAAAACTGAACTGGGAGAAAGAGGGCTCGTCAAGCGGGTCCAAGTTGGGCACGGCGTTGATAGCGGCCGCCATATTTGTGGTGCTGATGGCAATCATAACGTTTGTGATGGCACTCATCATAATCTATAACTTTATGGTTTGCGTTAAAGTGTTTTTCATCTTCGCGTTTGTCATATACTTCGGACTATTTAGCGCTGGCTATGTCTACATCGCTCTCGACGAGTATAACGTACCCATGGATTGGATAACAGTCGGTGTGTTTATCTGGAACTATACGGCCGTCGGTATTGTCATATTCTTCATCGCCGGACCTAAACTACTGAAACAGACTTATCTCATACTATTGTCGGCAAACGTGGCTCTCATACTGATTCTGGTGTTACCCGAGTGGACCACTTGGTTACTACTGGGGCTCATGTCTATTTGGGACTTATATGCAGTTCTCCACAAAACAGGTCTTTCAATTGTGCTCTCATTTATGGTTGTAATTGGTTTTAATGGTTATGTCGATTGTCTTGAAATGTTAGGTCCGCTCAATAAGATGTTATCGGCGTTGGAGGACAAGAAGCAAATGCCTCCCATTTTGTATTCGACAGTCATTTTCCTACAAACAGACGTTGAAGAGGACGACGATTCTGGCGTTCAGTTAGGTTTGGGAGACTTTGTCTTTTATAGTTTATTAGTCGGCCGATCGTACGCTTCATCCGATCTGTTGACAGCCATTATCTGTTATATAAGTATAACCGTCGGACTGGCCATCACTTTATCGATATTAGTAACGATAAATACACCCCTCCCGGCCCTTCCCATATCCATAGCACTGGGAGTTATATTTTACTTCTCCTCAAAGTATTTTATTATACCCTTTAACGACGAACTCCAGGAAAGGCTTATCTTTATCTGAAAATTTGTTTCATTTTTATGCATAAATTCTTTGGTTTTTAATTAATGCTATAATTTATACCATTCTTTGAATTTGTAAAAATGTTTTATTAATAAATTATTTCTTAATATAAAACAATTTAACAATTTTTCAATTACTTATTGCATATATTTTGGGATAAATGTATATTTATTGATATGTTTTAATCGATAAAAAATTAAGATATATAACACTTGTATAACATTTTGGAAAGTATTTTTATAAATGAATGGCATTGAAGTTATAGCCACAGGGACTCTACATATTGAGATTAACACATGTCTAGCGAGTGGTCGCCACAAATATGTAAGAAATTGTATTTTGATTTAAATTGACTTTCAATTTCTATTATGAATTGGGATTATAATATAGTGTTTGAAATGACATTCCTATAAAATAGTCTATCAAAACATTAAATTTCATTTTTAATTCCACAGTATTATGAATATCAATAGAGAAAATATTAGAAAAGTTAAAAAATATTTTATTTATTTTTTAAGCAAATTCACACTAAATATTAAGACAATTGTTTAATTATTGTATATTATTTAAAAATCTATTGTAATACTCAATTCAGTATTTATCATAATTATTAACTTAAATCGCAAGTTCTGTACAAATATTGATAGATTGTGATTGATTTCAATAATAATTTAAATATTTCCACCTTATGTTAAAATAGGAAAGAGTTTTTATACAAAATTATTTGCAAAGTTTGTGATAATAATTATAATATTATTACACAAATGACTACAAAAATTGCTCTAAATATATAGTTAAATGTGCAAAAATCTGAAACATGTTAAGTATTTTTAAATGAATTTATAATTATTATACAAATTCTATTAACGATATGTTAATAATATATTTACTTAATAATATCCGACGTTAATATTGACTGCATTTTTATTTTTATATACGCTTTCGTTTCCTCTATATTACAATTTTGTTTATTTTATTTATATTTCCCATAATATTATAGCCGAGAATTTTTGGCGAAACAAATATTGATTTTCTATTCACGAGTTTGTTATATAATATTCTAACGATATTTTAATTTCTTAATCAATACATTAAACAAGTTTTGCATTTTATTTGTGTTTTTTATTTATTTTCTTTTTTGACAATAAAAATAGAAATATTTGATTAAATGTAATCCAAAATAACTGAGAGCTCAGACAAAGAGCTCACAAAAACTTCTTTAATGATCAAAGTTTTGCTTTTATCTTAAATTTGTATGCAATAAAAATGCAATTCTTTTAAAAAATCATTAACTGTTTTCTCAATTGTCTTTATTTAACATATAAATCTCTCTCTCTCTCTCTCTATTAAATTGAAAAATTAATGAAAATTTTTTTGAATTTTTTTATTAAAATATATTTTTTCTGTAATTTATTTATCTATAGAATAGATGTTTTATATTATGTTTATTATAATAAAAATTTATTTCATTTTTCTCTTATTCCTATTCTATAATAGTCTCATATATTAACGCATTAATCATAAAACGTTTTCAAAATAATATATTTTTGATATTTATGTGAGAAATTTTATCACAAATTGAGTTAAATTTATATTTAAGTAAATATATTGTGCTTAAATAGAGAGAGAGAGAATATTCTGTTGTTATTATAACATTACTATTTATATTAAGTTATGTCTGAATACCATTTTAACAGAATATTGATTTTGTTATTTATATATTTATTTACTTAACTTAATAATTGTTTTGAATTATTACTCTACCCCTCATTTCTGTTGACCCCCATATCGTGTTTACCATATTTTATTTGAAAACACATTTACATAATAACGTTAATTGAATTAAAATTCTTTATAAATGTTTATATACAGTATTTGAATCAATTAGATAGCTTTGCCATTATTATGTTATTAATATGGTTTTATAATACAAATTCACATCATTTAAAATAAAAAACAATTCATTTATAAAATTATTTATTTAATTATGTTATATACGAATTCAATACAATGCTAATTCCTATATTTTTACAGTAAATATACAGCATTATAAACTGTAAAACAATAATAAAGCAAATTATAAATAATATAGATGTTTTATGACAATATAGTTCTGGATATGTTTGGAATATATTTACAATTAATCTAATTTTTATTTGGATTTAAGTGTCAAAATATATAAACTAATTGATATATTTATTCATATAATTTAATTTCATAAACATGGTATTTTAAAATTAATAAACACCGTTTTTACCCATGGTAGACGCAAAAAGTGCCGAAAACATCACCTTGGTCAACGAATTGGAGGGCACACTATACTCGCCAAACTATCCCAACAGTTATTTCAACCAATTGTTATACACGACAACAATCGCGACAACAAACGTGACAAACGCGGCGATCATCATATGGTTAGACGCGGTGGACATCGAGTGGCAGCGACAGTGTCTATACGACTACCTGTCCGTCAGTGACCACTCCCGGCAGCGCAAGATTTGCGGCCAAATTACTGACCAGAAAGTGCTGTTCAACGAGACGTTCATATCGTTGTCGAACTCAGTTCGGGTCACTTTTCACTCGGATTTCTCCAATCGGGGCAATGGTTTCAAACTCCGGTGGAAAGCCTTCTCTATGGGCTGGTGTGACGCCAATGAGA